GGCCTATATATATATATATATATATATATATATATATATAAAATTGCGTCTCTGTACATCTGTCAGTGAATTGTAATGTGCAGAACTAAATGATGATTTGGTGTCAGTGTCAGGAAATCATGCAGGTTTAATGTGCTGATAAACAGGTGTATCAAGGTGTTGAACTGGAAACGCCTCCCTCAGGACATGAGAGAGAGTTTCACACTCTGTTTAACTCTGATGCTCTGCAATTTCTGTCTGAACTCATCTCTACCTTCCAAGCAGAGGTTGACAAGGTACCTCTTCAATTTATAGTTTCTAATAGAATTGAACCCAATAATGCATATTAAGGAAACCCCAATTACTTATTTATGCTACTCATAAAAATGTTTGCTTGTTTATTTTTTGGATGAGCCTTCATCAAAAGATGTCTTTACTCTTTTGCAAGGTTTTGAATTTTCGAGTCCTCCGGAAAGTTCAGTTGGATCTAACTGGAGAGTTGCCAGGATTTCTGAAGGACACAGCTCATATCCGAAATGATCCCAGCTGGAGAGTGAGCCCAGTTCCAGACCGATTACACTGCAGACATGTGGACGTTGGTGACCTTTCACCCTGTGATACACAACGTCTTATAATGGGACTCAAATCTACTGCCCAAGGTTTACAGGTAGGACTTAGTAATGCAAATAAGATGACACTGAAGTTAGAACAGAAATGCAAATATATATTGTATACTAAACTGCACTGAATACAGAAAAGATTGTATTTTTGTGTATACAGTGGCATCCAAGAATTTGAAACTGAAAAAGCTGAATTCCTGGCTGTAACTGCATTATTGTTCTGTTCTGTTGTAGATTGATTTTGATGATGGCAACTGCCCAACATACCGCAATCAAATAAAGGGTATTTATAATGTTTATCAGGCTGTGCACAACCAGTTTCAGGGTGAGTCTTGAGTCTAACTCCTGCTATTTGTTTTGTCAGAAATGTAGTGAATTAAATATTCTTTAACAAAATAATCCCATCAGAGATGTATGGAAAGCATGTGTTAACAATCTGTCATATTCCTCTTAAACAGATGTACCACCCATTTCTCAGGCTCCAGTGCTGATGCTCCGTCCTCGAGCATGGAACATGGTGGAGCACAACATGATGGTATGGATCTGTAGTGAGCTTGTTTAATGGCACAGATGAGAATATTGGTGTCTTTGTTTGTTTGTCCAAACCATGTGTTTGATTTAGTTTCACATCTCACCTTATAATGAGTTAATGATCTGTTGTACGGTTTTTAAATTTTAATCACTTATAACCACTCCTTTAGAAAAGACAATTGGATTTTTTAACATTTCAGCTGTTTCTCCTAGACAACATTAAAGGCACAATATGTAAGATTTTTTTATTAAAATATCCAAAAACCACTAGAACAGTTTTATAGATTTTGCTGACTTGTGTACTTATATTATCCCAAATGTTTCGAAGAATGTTTAAATCCAGAGAAATAAGCAATTTTAACTAGTGACACGGACCGTGTCCATAGTGTCATTGTGTCGCCTGCCAATGACGTCATAACCCCTCGATTTCTTCGACGGCTTTCCGCCTCACTCTGCTTCATACTACGACGTTAATAAATCTTTAATACATTAGCTCATCCATGAACATGATTTCTGCCCGAGTCCCATCGGATTGCTTCGGCTGTGGGGATGAAGACGACAACACCCATGATTCCACACTCAGTCACGGTGTCATCTAACTACGCCTTTGTTTCTTTGTTTGTTTTGAATACGCGCCCTCCAGTGGCAAAAAATTACATATTGTGCCTTTAAGTGTAAATGTAGAGAAAATAGATACTTTTGCTTGTTTCCTGCTTTAGATTGTTCTTCTATGAAAAAGCCCCAGTAACTTCACGTCTCAGATAAAATGTCAAAAACTGTTGAAACTTAGATTTAAATTCAAGAGATTTTAGTGAAAGCCATTCATAATTAAAGTCTTCACATTCATGTTATAGCTCTGTACTCTTAATTTATGTCAGTAAATGTCTCATTTGTGTCTGTTTTATATTGCTCCAAATGGGTTTTTGGAGAAACATCTGATTCAGATTAAAATAAAAGATAATTTAGAAATCTCTTTAGCTGTAAATGAGCTAATCCTGCATAGCAATATATCCTTCTTGTTAGTGTGAAGTATATGTACATCTGTTTCTCTGTAGGTCAATGGTCGAGAGGTTCCAGGTCCATTGTTTGATTTTGGTCTGCTGATGTTTCATAATGCAAAACTAATTCTTCAAAACCAGAGTGGCCCTTTTTTCTACTTGTCCAAGGTCAGTGTCAGATCACATCACTCTGTTTACCAGGACAGAACTTCAATGTAGAATCAAACATATCCTAGAAAATCTTAATGATATGTTGTGCAGGTTGAGAGCTACATGGAGGCCAGACTCTGGAGTCAGATTTTTTTCTGGACTGAGAAGAAGGTGCGAGTGTTGACAGAGATTACATGTGACCCCAGTGCAGTTTTAACTACCATGAATTTTATTTCTAATGTATTCTGAATTATTTTGTAGCTTGGCCTGCCAGCGGGCTGCATAAAGGCCACTGTGTTGATCGAGTGTGTCCTGGCATCGTTCGAGATGGAGGAGATTTTGTACGAGCTCAAGGAGCACTCTGCTGGTCTAAACTGTGGCATCTGGGATTATTCAGCTTCCTTTGTCAACAAATTTGGTCAGCGCATACATTTTCTGCAAGTTCGACTAGTAGACTCAATCACATTCCTCAATAGTGACAATGGTTGCTTTATAGGTCATCGGGCTGATTTTCTCCTCCCTGATCGCAGTAAATATGTGGATATGGAGAAGCGTTTCCTGCACAGCTACATGGATCTTCTAGTGCAGACGTGTCACCGCAGGGGTGCCCTAGCAACAGGTGGCATGGCAGCATTGCTGTTGCCTGGAGACAAAGAGAGTGACCTCTACAAGACTGCACTCAGAACTGTCACCAGGCGAGACGCAACCAGATTAGATAAAAGCTCTGTGGTGATTTGAATCCAACCCATAATTGCAATCAAAATATAGTGGCACATAATTTTAAATCCCAATATTACAGTGGCAAACTAGTGCACAACACAACTAAATCTCCACAATGGAAACAAGCCGCAATACAACGAAATAAGCACAACACAACGGAAACAAGGCATAACACAATTAAATTAGTCATATGCGTTGTGTTGTAGTGATTTCGTTGTGTTGCGCACTACTGGTCCACCGAACATATGGCAGCTCAACCATTTATGGTTCTGTATTTGTTTTCCATATAAATTATCATTCTTGTGTTATTTTAGACTTAAATTACTGGAGATCAAAGCAGGAGTTGATGGGTTCATGGTCTACGACATGGACCTGATTGAGCCCATGCAAAAAGTAAGTGTCACACATAAGTTGTTCATTTCTGTCTGGTCATTGATAGACTTCCCCATAACAGCACTTGCATATGTATGCATATAAAAACATAATTTCTCTCTCTCACACAGCTGTTTCAGCTTCACTCTCATGGTCAGAATCAACTCCTGCAGCTTCGTGAAGACATCACTGTGACCCCTAAAGACTTGCTCATTATGCCTGCGGTCAGTTGAATTCTATCACTGCAAATCATGTTAACAGTATAATAAATGTGGTGAGTGTAAATGCTGTTGCCTTTGTATTGTGTGCTTTATATCTCCATAGGGAGGAGTAACACAGTACGGACTGAGATATAACATTGCTGTAGGTGTCCTCTTCATTGAAGCCTGGCTTTCAGGTGCAAAACTTTATTTCACTAATTACTTTTTATACAACATTTTTATGCTATGTGATGAATGGAGGTTTTATTGATATTGACTTTGTACAACAGGCAGAGGTCATTTCTTCTATCTGGGGAAGGTTGAGGATTCAGCAACAGCAGAGATATCCAGATCTCAGGTTGGTTCACTCAAAGCTCACATGCTACAATATAATATTATCTCTTATTCTAAGAGGCTGCATTTGTAAGGTTTGGCAGTGGATTCGGCACCAAGTGAGACTGGAGGATGATGGGACGGTAGTGACCCGAGCTCTTGTCAGCAGTTTGGCTGAAGGTCTGATGGAAGATCTGAAAGCAGCCATACATTGCCAAACAAGCAGGTAAAGAATGCTGTACCGATGCTTCATATATTGGATAGAGAAAACATTTGTTGGAACGTGCACTTGAACAAGACATAGTGACCACAAAATGAAGTGGGATTCACACAGCAAAAGACCATGCATTACAGTGATTTTACCACGGTTACAGGATGTTCTTGTAGATAGTATGAAGAAATCATTGTTCAGTAGTTCAGTGAATAATAAAATTCCTCAATTACTATATATATATATATATAAATATATATA